AACTTCTTCAAGGAAGAGTTGCCCATACGAAGGACTCTGTAGATCCTTGTAAAATGGCCAGATCTTAAAAATGTTCTGTGCTAGAGCTGTTAAAATTTCAACCCTGCCCTTTTCTTGTGAAAAATCTCTCCTTAGATGTGTACCTCTATTGGTAAGACTGCTGCAGTTCTGTGCAAGAGGATTAGCAAGTATTGCAGGCAAGGGCAAACATTTCAAGGAGAAACGTTATAAATATTCTTGCTTTCAGGCTAGACATAATATCATGCCATAGCTACACATTATAAAACCATTTCTTTTTGAAGCTGATTCACTGGACCAATAATTTGAAATTCAGCTTGATGTTAGAGATTTTTTTTTTTTAATTTAAAATGACTGGTATTTGTCCACTAGACTGGCAAATTATGTAAGTCAAAAGAAATGAAAAAGCTTTGTTTGTAGTCTAGTGTTCAGTTACAAACAAATAGTAACTCTAAAACTCCTATCCAGCATTGTTGAAGTTTTAAAAAGTCTAGCATCTATTTAGTGTTTCTACAAGAGTTGACCAGAAGCAGCTTATTCAAAGACCTAAATATGAATTATTCCTTAAAAAAGAAGACAAGGATGAGGTGAGGTTGGAGTGGATGGAATTTCCTGGTGGACTTCAAGATTCCCAACGGGTGGGGTGCCTGGGTGGCTCAGTCATTAAGCGTCTGCCTTCAGCTCAGGTCATGATCCCAGGGTCCTGGGATTGAGCCCCGCATCAGGCTCCTTGTTCAGGGGGAAGCCTGCTTCTCCCTCTCCCACTCCCCCTGCTTGTGTTCCCTCTCTCGCTGTGTCCCTCTCTTTCAAATAAATAAAATCTTAAAAAAAAAAAAAAAAAGATTCCCAGGAGGTGTATACACACCTTCTTCCAGTTACTCAGTGAAACAGTAATTTAGTGCTGCTGTGAAGGGACATTGCAGATGTAATTAAGGTCCCAAACTAGTTGACCTTAAAATATGGAAATCATCCAGGTGGGCTTTACTCATCACAGGAGTCATTTAAATTTGGCCTAGAGGTAGAGAGACTAGAAAGTCAAAGAGATTTGAAGCTCGAGAAGGATTTGACATGGAGGAGAGTCCTCTTTTCTGGTTTTGCAGATAGAGGGGTCCATGTGCCAAGGAATATGAGTGGCCTGTAGGATCTGAGAGGGACCCGTGGCTGGTAGCCAACAAGGAAAGAGGGACATCAGTCCTACAACTGCAAGGAACTGAATTTTTTTTTTTTAAGATTTTATTTATTTATTTGACAGAGAGAGACACAGCGAGAGAGGGAACACAAACAGAGGGAGTGGAAGAGGGAGAAGCAGGCTTCCCGCTGAGCAGGGAGCCCAATGTGGGGCTCAGTCCCAGGACCCTGGGATCACGACCCGAGCTGAAGGGAGACGCTTAACGATTGAGCCACCCAGGCGCCCCTAAGGAGCTGAATTCTATCAACAATAAGAATGTGGTTGAAAACACAGCCCCTGGGATGCCTGGGTGGCTCAGTTGGTTAAGCATCTGCCTTTGGCTCAGGAACGTGCTCCATTGGTTAAGGTGGTATCTGCCACGTTTCTCGACTGTACATTTCTTTGTGGGGAACTATTTTGAGGCTATGCAAATATCCCATTCTTCATCATATTTTGGCGGGGTCATGTTTTAAACTGCTGCAAAATTCAAATTTCTTATCATTAGACCCAACAGATTAGAAACTTAATCTTTCAAATTTGGGTAGTTGTCTTGTCACAGACCTGTGACAGTTTGCAGGCTGGCTCTGGTCTGCAGACCATTCTTTGAGTAGGAATGTTCTGGACTATACTCCTTCCCCCGGTCATTTTTCACATTACTGTCAGATTGGAGTTTGAACAGCAAATCCTACTGTGTCATTCTTCTGCTTAAAATCCTTCATAAACTCCCTCTAACCTGTAGGTAAAGCCCAGACTTCTTGGCATGGTGTTCAAGGTTGCATCATTCTTCTCCATCTTTCACGTTGTCCTTTTGCTACTCCGATTGCACCATTCCTCCTGCTCAATTCTTTCAGTGCTCATGAACACCTCTTCTCCCCAGTCTGGGCTCACTGGGTTTTCCCGGGTCGGTTCCCTAATCTGTGCTAGAACTTAACTCTGTTTGTATGCTGTTCAGTGTGTCTCTGAAGCCCCTTGACTCTCAAGTTTGAAGTCACAGATTTTGAGTTCATAAGGTTAGCCCATGGCAAATGCTCAATAGGGTTAGTCAAATTTGAGTATGGAGCTAGTTTTCAGGAAAAAAAAATCTCCAGCACTAATTAAGATCTATATGGCTTGTTGAAATGCAACACAGTAGATGGAAAAGCCCTTGGGGGGGGGACGGACAGTGTTCCTGATGGATAGGGCCGACTGCGGAGATGGAGGCTCTTGACTTCTGGTGCTTGCTTCGTGCATATTGTCTCTACCTATGTGGGCAGATAAAAACTTCAAGCAAGCAAGCAAACATGACTGTGCAGCTCCATGACCAAACCTGGTGTCTCCTTAGACCCATTTAATCACTGTTGGGACTGCTTTCTTTGTCTTGCAAACCTGAGCCCAGAGCAGGCGGAGATCCTTTGCTTCTCCTCCTTGGACCTCCTCCTTCTGGCTCCTCTTTTCTCTGAATACATAGTAGTATGGTAGGGTAGGTCAAGGGACTTTATTTAGTTACTTTTAATTCTTGTTCTTGGTTCATCCCAAGATTGTCTTTATGTTTCAAAGGAAAGTTAAAAAAATGTTAACTGGTTTGAAATTAAGCCCAACTCACTTCTGTAGCTTTCTGAACAGAAGCAGAGGAATCTCCCTATTCCTACTTTTCCTACCTAAATTGCATTTAGTCATTTATATCTAACTGTTGCTAGACTTTATATTTAGTCTGAATTGTCAAGCATCAGTAAATAAAACTTTTAAAAAGTTTCCCAAAACTGGGGCGCCTGGGTGGTTCAGTTGGTTAAGCGTCTGCCTTTGGCTCAGGTCATGATCCCAGGGTCCTGGGATCCAGCCCCTGCTCAGTGGGGGGTCTGCTGCTCCTCCTCCCTCTACTACCCCCTCCCCACTGATGTATGTTCTTTCTCAAATAAATAATAAAAAAAAATCTTTACAAAAACAAAGTTTCCCAACACTAAGGGTGATAATTACTTTAGGCACAGGAGGGAGTTAGAATGCCAAATAATGTATCCTAAAGATGTTCCTAAGTTTATTCAAAATTTTCTAATTCAAACAGCACCCTCTTTGTTAATAATATAAACCACAGATAGAGAAAATCCCAGTAAATCTTCTGAATGAAAATTTTGTAAGGAAAACTCTTTAACCACATACAATCTATTATTAAATTTTACTGTTAAGGGGAAGAAATAAAACAAAGAAGACCTCCCCCTGAAAAAAAAAAACAAAACCACAACTATAACAAGTGGTCTTATGAACTACATTTGCAGAGGGCAGTATATTTCAGTTTTCATCTGGAATTACTTAAAAACACTGTGCTTGGATGGTTAACATAAAGAAAAGTATACTGTGATGTAGTTAGTATCTTCACAGTCCTTTGAAGATTAGGGATAATTTCAGAAAGATCTCTTTTTGTTTGTTTTTGGTTTAAAAAAAAATCCAGATAAATCTTTTTACTTCCTGTCCTTTAGGCTGTCCATAGACCATAGAAATTTTATTATTTTAGACTGGAGGATATAACAGGCTCATGTAGTAAAATGATACTGGTGATTTAAAATCATGGTGGCCAACCACTGAACAGAACCCAAAAATAAGATAGCCTTTTGCAAAAGTCAACTCTGATGATTTAAGACTTACTGCCTGAACAATTCCCTGAGATTCAGCCACATCAGCTTTCTTTGGAGGTAAGCCTCGTCCTCCCTGGTCTACAGAGGCCTGAGTGCCGGGGCTGCTCTCCAGAGTACAAATCAAAGGAAGAGAACTCTGAGAAGATTGCTCTGTTACTCAGAGCACATCAAGGGTTTGATCACTGGAGACCCGAGCCACTAATTAGGCCTATAGTGGTATGAGAGGAGGTGGTTAAAGTAAGGAGACAGATTTTTTTTTTTTTTAAAGATTTTATTTATTTATTTGAGAGAGAGAGAATGAGAGATAGAAAGCACGAGAGGGAAGAGGGTCAGAGGGAGAAGCAGACTCCCCGCAGAGCAGGAAGCCCGATGTGGGACTCGATCCCGGGACTCCAGGATCATGACCTGAGCCGAAGGCAGTCGCTTAACCAACTGAGCCACCCAGGCGCCCATGGAGACAGATTTTTAAAAATCAAAGTTTAAGAGCATATGGAAGGCAAATATTGTCTCTAAAGCAATCTAAAATCTTTGGATTTCAGATGTCTAACTATGACCCACATAAGAAAAATGCATTTTACATCACTACCCAGTATGAATCTATAGGCCTAAAACTGAAACAAAAATGTTATGGGACTATACTGTGTGTGACAGCTTTGGATATTCTCCATTTTATTATTTTTAATTAAGAAGATGCTAGTCAGGGCGCCTGGGTGGCTCACTCGGTTGAGCGTCTGCCTTCAGCTCAGGTCATGATCCCAGGGTCCTGGGATTGAGCGGCGGGCTCCCTGCTCAGGGGGGAGCCTGCTTCTCCCTCTCCCTCTGCCCCTCCCCACTGCTCATGTGCGTTCTCTCTCTGTCTGTCTGTCTCTCTCTGTCTCTGCTCTCTCTCTCTCTCTCACATGAATAAATCTTAAAAAAGAAAATCCTAGTCAATACCCAGTGAACTCATGTCATTGCGCACTTATTGGCCACTTCCCACGGTCTGGAAAAACACCACCTGAGATTGTCATAAACATTTGCGGCCACCCTTGTTCTGTACTTGCTTTAGAGGTGGTTTTTGTTTTTTTTGTTTTTTGTTTTTTTTGAATTTATGTTTAGTTCCTGAGTTACAGAAAATGTCATAGAAATGTTGTGGGGTTTTTTTTTTTTTTTTTTGTCTTTAACTAAAAGTGCTTTTATTTAGCTCGAGCTCCCTTTTAATTTCCCAGACGTAGTTCTGAATCATGTCCGTCCAATCAGGGAACAACAGTTGTTATGGTTGGTATTCAGAAAAATGTGACGCCTGGCATGCTAGAACTGGGAGTTGAAGGGGCCTTTGAGGGCATCCAGGCCAGCCCGCTCCTCGTGCAGAAGCCCGGAGAAGGACTAGTTGTAATTCATCAGAATGAAGTACAGTAGTTTCTGTAGGCATGTCCTAGCAGTAGAGTATATTTAAAAATACTGTCACGAGGACACTGGTGTTGTGGGTGGATGCTTCTGGATCTGAATGTTGGGGGAGAGTATAGAAGCAGCAGCTCTCACCTCTGGGTACCATTGGAGAAGTGGGGTCCATGCCCCTGTAACTTTCTTGGCTTGGGTACTAGGGCAACTCTCAAATATATGTGCTTGGCTATTTCAGCCCAGGCCTCATGAGAGTATATATCATAAAAATTTAAAAAGATCAATTTAGGGAAAGGGATGGTCAACATCTCGGGAGCTGAGGAAGAAGCCTGGAAAAGTGCTGGCTTGAGGTCATGCTTGGTCTTGGGTCTGTGCATTTCGCATCCTGCTGAGACATGGTGTAAGGAGCTTCGGCTTCACATCTGAGCCTTCAGTTGCCCAAGAAAGTGAATAAATAAATTTAATATTTGTAGTCAAAACCTTATCCCCTAATATAGTAAAACTACAAAAATAATCACATTTATTTCTGCTAGATACAGAGGGGCTTTCTAAATGCTCGCTCCAGTCTTTGGGACTCCTTTCTGTACCTCACTTCCCCTTAACACATATTTATATGTGTTATTATATATATATATATATTATTATTATTATTATTATAAACACTGTGATCTCTTTTTGGCAAGTCTCGTAGGCTTTTCTTTTATCAGTGTATTATCATAGACAGACAAGCTCTAGGGAGGCCAGATGATAAATTCCCTTCCTATCCACCTGGCATTTTCTGTGAAATAGACAAACTCTAATACCCATAATGAAGGCAGCATGCTTGTCTTAAGTGCTGTCATTTATCATACAAAGTCAACGCAAATAAAATGAAGGAATCTGATTTATTTTTAAAACGGAATCAGGAATCAGCAAATGATAGCTTATGGGCCAAATATGGCATATACCTGTTTTTGTAAATAAAATTTTATTGGAACACAGCCATGCCTATTCATTTATGTATAATTTATGCCTGCTTTTACATTATAGTGACAGAGTTAAGGAGTTGCTATAGAGACTGTGTGGCCCACCAAAGCCTGAAATCTTTGCCATCTGACCCTTTACAGAAACAGGTTGACTGCCCTGGACTGAAGGAATATTGAGAGACTGAGGTATTGTTTTTAGTAAGAATGGTTGAGGCCAAAAAAAAAAAGAACGGTTGAGACTATTTTCTCTTACATGGCGTGAAAAAAAATCTTGTCACAATAGATAATAATTCATAACTAGTTTTGGTGAGGGAAAATTCCCAAAGTCTATTGGGTGATTGGGGTCTACTCCTTTTTTTTTTTTAAAGTAACAGATTAAAAATCATTATACATTCATAATGCTGAGAAGATAGCTAATGAGGCATAAATGAAAGATTACGTGTGGCATGCTTATAATTTAACTGTGCAGTGAGGGCTGGTCACATGATTTCAGCTGGCATTGCCTATTCTCATAGTCTTTATAATAATTGTGAATTTTAATTAATTTTTATATTTATAAATGTCAACCTATTTGAGATTATACTTGCTACAGATCAATAAGGCTAAGCTAAGAGTCACTTGAAAAGAGCCCCATATTTCTTGTATTTAATAGATGTAGTTCAATGTGTTAAAAATGAGTATTTAATCATCTATTTCTTGGTCACAGAATTTAAGCAATAAAACATGGGGCTGTGGTGCTCCTGATCAGGGCAGTTTAAATATAAGTTATCTAATGTGTGCTTATCTTTTTATTTTTTTTTAACAGACTTGTGGAAGAGAGCAAACTGATCCCACTCATTTTTGAAGTAATTCTGGTAAGAAGGGAAACTTGTCTCTGAAATTCAAGTGACATTTAAAACATTTTAAGGTTTTGACCATGTCGTGGGGTTGGGTTCAAACCCTGACTCTGTCCAGAAGGATTCTGTGCCCTTCATCATCTCACTTCACCTTATTGGGCCTCAGTTTATCTATCTGGACCTTGTCCAGCTCTGAAATGGTATGGGACACCGCTTAATGACCTGCCCTCTTTTTATAAATCCTTCATTTGAGATTGGTTTGTGGAGGAAGGGCAGAGGGATGATCACTACACTTCAATGTGAATTTTCTGATGCTCAGTATGAAGCCCTCTGACTTGGTAGTCAATGGGTCAGATCAGCAGTTTTGTGCCTATGGCCAGAAGGTTATGTTCTTCCGAATGTGGAATAGCTTAACTTCCATACATCATTTTTTTCTATTCATAGAATGCTACACCATAGAAAACCATTTGTTAAAGGAAACCTTTCTTCTATGGTTCCTATGTGTAGAGAGTAAAATGGGATTGCAGGGTTGACTTTTCTCACTTCTGATAAATCCCTACTAATTCCTGCCTTTAGGCAGGTTTGAGAAGTAGGCTGGAAGTTGAGTTGGTACTAGAACAACAGAGTGCCCTTAGCTGAAGAAATGTTTTCTTGTACCTGGGTTGGCTATCCCCCTTCACTAAAAACCTGCCCTACATAGGTAAGTGACAGCATAAGGGACAAAGGAGGGGACACCTCCCCAGCCAGCTCAGCCTAACCTACCTTGGTCTTCAATGGAGCAATAACCCTAGTTTGATAACTGTACCCATGGAAAATTAGCTTTCTTTAATCATCCTAAAATATTAATATACAAGTTGTTTGTGTGTTGATATGGCTAAATGGTGAAAACATTATTTTTCTTAGCTGCAAGGTAAACCTTTTCCTTCCAGGAGAGTGGGTTGGGTTTGCCGAGCTACATGGTTTGGATGGGGACAAGAGGTGGCAGTGGGTGATATTCCCAAAGCATGCTCCAGTGACAAGATGGCACAGAGCTGCCATGCTGGGGCCTGTACAAAGTTGGAGGCTGGATTGAATTGCTTTGAATAGTAAGGGGATTTTATAAGCAATAGTGGGAAAAGAAATAGAGAAAATGGGAGGAAGGCACATGGAGATAGAGAACTGTCGAATGGGGATTTTAAGCTTTGCCAAGTGGCCTGTGTGTCTCCCCATCTTCAATAAGGGTATATGTGACTTGCTAATTTGTTGCAGCATTGGATTTGTTTTGGAGTTCAGTGGGTGCAGTAAACTGCCTGCTTTGGGTTTGGTTGGGCATGGGACAAGAGCCAAAGCTGTCCAAACCCAGCCACAGCAGGCTTGCATTTGAGGAGACCAGCGTTGAAGACATGGAGAGCACTCTAGAGCTCGAACAGACCTTAAGGGGTGGGGGGATGTGACTCATTGCCCTGCTGTGTCAGGAATGTTTCTAACCTGTTCGGGTCAGTACAGCTCCTTTTGTGACTGATGAAAAGTTTTCATCCTATCCTTTGGCAATCACTTCAGGGTCTCAAATCTTGTACATAGGAAATTCCTTCTTGAAGGTTACCAAAATCCCCCTGTGCTTGATTAATCTTTGTATAATGACCACTTAGAAAGGTTTCATATCTTATTTTTAAGAGATTTTATTTTTGTGCAAGAGAGGGAGAGAGAGCATGTGCATGAGCATGCACATGAGCGGTGGTGGGGGGAGGGGCAGAGGGAGAAGCAGACTCCCCGCTGAGCAGGGAGCCCGATGAGTGGCTTGATCCCAGGACCTGGGATCATGACCTGAGCTGAAGGCAAATGCTTAACCGACTGAGCCACCCAGGCGCCTGAATGGCTTCATATCTTACAAACCACAGTGAATGTTTAATTGATTAATGCCATGATTTAGACCTTTTTCATGTATTGGAGCTGTCATAGAGTGGGTAGAGGTGATGTCTACTGTCCAGGTGAGGATCTCAGCCAGTCCTGAGCCCTGCGACCTCCCAGGCATGTCTGGGATGATGCTTTTCCTCTAACCAGAACAGCTCCATACTCAGGTTTCTTCTATGATAATATTTCAAAAAGAGGTCCTGCCGCTAAAAAAAAAAAAAAAAAAAGTTGGAAATCACTGCTTTTAGGGGACAGGACTTTGATGTCCTTGAAGAACATTATTAAATCCCTTTTCTACTTTTGTCTTTCTTGAGTTGAATAATCTCAACTTTTTCCCTCTGTATAAATACATTTTTTAATCAGTGAAATGACTTTGTAGCAGTTATCCTGTGAACAATTACCTTGTCCTTTCTAAATTTTTGTCACTGAGCAAGACATGATATAGCATTTTAGTGATTCTATGATGTACTTTTTTTTTTCTTTCAGATTTTAACATTTCTGAAACTGGGATGTACTTTCCAAATCAGTGACATTTTATGATTGCTTTCAGCCAGGTGACCTGGTTGTCATTGCCTTAACCAATTCATTTCACTTTTATTTTTCTTTTTATAAGTGCCCAAGAGTGATGCATTATAAAAATATATGTCTGAATATGTCTAAAAGAGCTCTTTCAATAAAAATAAAATGAACTTTCTAAGTAATAAGAAATCATGTCATAGTTTAATTGGCAGCATTTTTCTTTCTTAGGGCTTAAGAAAATAATGGTACATCTTAGAACTGAGGGATTCCTAGTTTCAGGGAAACACAGTATATACTTCAGTGAGGTTTGGTTTCTAAGCTCAAGGGCCTGTGTGACGTCTACATACATGTAGCAGCTTCTCGGCAACAGTTTGCTCAGAAAAGACATAATGATGTAAGAGAATGGTCGAGTTTGATTCTTCTGTATATGGCTGTCCAATTTTACCCCATCTACATTTATTGAAGAGACTGTCTTTTTTCCATTGGATATTTTTTCCTGCTTTGTCGAAGATTAATTGACCATAGAGTTGAGGGTCCATATCTGGGCTCTCTATTATGTTCCATTGATCTATGGGTCTGTTTTTGTGCCAGTACCATGCTGTCTTGGTGATCACAGCTTTGTAATAAAGCTTGAAATCAGGCAACATGATCCCCAGCTTTGTTTTTCTTTTTCAACATTTCCTTGGTGATTTGGGGTCTTTTCTGGTTCCATACAAATTTTAGGATTGTTTGTTCCAGCACTTTGAAAAATGCCATTGGTATTTTGATTGGGATGGCGTTGAAAGTATAGATGCTCTGGGCAGCTATA